TTATTGTATCGTTATTAAAAGATTTCAAAGCAAAATAACGATCCGGATTTTTCCAATTCGCACGCATAACTTTTCCGAATTGGCCATTTCCGATTAGTTGTAAATTGTCGAAGTCCGAATATTCATAATGGATGAAATATTCATCAGAGATTGATTTTTCTAACCAATCGACATAAATATTTGATATTTCAGGGTTATTTGACATTTCTACTTTATTATATAAAAAATTAATTACGACCGTCTTTATGGCTTTTAAGTAAAAAAAAAAATTTTCGGAGTTCAATTCCGATGCAGAGTAACCCACGTATCGCATATGATTGGCGAAATTTCTTCCTTATATACAGTAATTCAATTTTATATCCAAATTTGTCTTTTTGTTTTTGTTATAATATACTGGAATATATAATTGTTTGAAATAAACCATGAAATACTGCGGCGACGACACATCATGAATTAACAATTCAGTATCTAGAATCCTAAATGTGTATGTATTCATATAGTCGTCAGTTATTAAATTATATTTAATACTCTACAATATACTCAAATTTTGTCATTTTATTTTAAGCCAATCGATGGCTTTTATTTTTATTAAAATGGTTGCTTTTCAATTTTTTGAAAACTTTTAAAGAGATTATTAAAAAAACTTTACAGTACAGTAATGAAAAATTAATCCCAGTACTTTTCAAAATCCTCCTACATTTTATATATTTTTCAATAAAAAATTTTACGCCAATTCCCTAATGATGATGATCTCTCACCAGAGACCTGCAACGAGCCAGAAACCCAGCCAGGACCCGATTCAAGAAGTGCGGGCTGGCAAATTATTTCGCGCCGGAAGTTCAAAATACCAGTCCGGAAATTTAATTAAAATTTAGCAGCTGATTGTATAAATAAATAAAAATATTTAACGAATTTTTTTTTTGGTCTGAATAATGATACATTTTTTCGAGGGCTGAAGTATCATTATCAATATTTGCAAGACGAGGTTTAGGTCAAATATCAACTTTATTAACGAAAAAAAATTAGCTATAAAATATATTGAATAGAACTTTTCATAAACTATCTAGTCAATAAGAAAAATGAATTTTATATGTTAAAATACATTTACATATTTGTTTGATATCAATAGCCGTTTACATCACATGTCAAATCCATGATTAGGAATTCCCCATTGACACTTATTCACATTCGCCTCAGGTTCTTCACAAATAGGATCGGAATCAATGGAAGTTTGCACATCAGATAATCTGCTTGCAAATTTGACTTGGTAATCAACTTTTCCTTGCTTGCCGTCAAAATTGACCAGTTTGAAACACCAGATACCATCGCTAGAACAGGCTCTTTTGCCAATTGGTGAATTAAAATCGAAGACCAAACAACTGTGGTAACCAGTGTCTGCTCTAAAGCATGCCTCAACGTTGAGTGTCGAGCTTTGAATCGTATCGACGCTGGACGCTTTTCCTACGACTTCGACGAAAGTAGCAATAACAGCTGGCAAAAAGGCCAATAGCATCAGAAAATAAATAAATTTGTGGAGCATGTTTTGGAAATATTTGTATATTTGAAGGTTTTGAATGTTTGAAAATTTGATAAATTGTGAAGTTTTACAGAAGAAAATTGGTGTGCAATTTATATAATTATCCATATGGCACTATTTTATTGATCAAGTGAAAACCATCAATTTAAGGTTATTAAAATCATATTTAGATGATAATAAAAAATAATAAAATTATTAAAAATATCTATTTGATGATATTAAATTTTTTACCTATGACGACAAGAATTTGATGATCGGGTAAACTGCGGGCGGCAGTACAATATTGCTGCGGTGGTGCTACGATGCATGTACTTATACGGTTAAAACAGGCTAAATTCGCTACTTATAACCTTTTTTGGATCGATTCAACTTTTTTCATTTCTTACCCAAACATACAAAAAAAATACGCAAATTTTTTTTTTTTTTCAAAATGACTTCAATATTCCATTCTGGACTTTCAAAAGATCTTGCCTTAATATTATCTGATGCCGATGACTTCAATGTCATAATTCAAGTTGGTGAAAGTCAAGATACAAAAGAATTTTATGCACATTCAGTTATTTTGCGTGCACGCTCTCCATATTTCAAAAGCGCTTTTTCGTCTAATTGGATTACAAAAAAGGATAATATGATCATATTTAATAAACCAAATATCACTCCAAATATTTTTAACATGATCTTAGGGTAAGTAACATTCAACAAATATTTTTAAATAATTTTTTGTTATAAAATTTTTAATTTTATTATTTTTTTTTTTTTAAAAAAGATACATTTATACGGGAGAACTTAATTTGTCAATGCAGTCGGGCGAAGATATTTTAGGACTATTAATTGCTTCAGATGAGCTATTAATGGAAGAATTATTCAAACATGTTCAAGATTACTTGTTTGAAAAACATATATGCTGGATTCAACAAAATTTTATTTTCGTACTTCACACTGTGTTTAAACTTTCTAGCTGCAAGAACTTGCAAGAATATTGTCTTGGATCGATTTGTGCCGATCCAGAACCGTTTATCACTTCGAAAAACTTTCTATTACTAGATAAAAATAAAGATTACAAATTTAATAAAAAATCCGATATCTATAGTGTTGGAGTCTTGATGTGGCAAATGTCA